TGCTTTGCTCTGTGGCTCTTTGTGCAGCGTGTGGCTGAAATCAGAGAGGAAAAACAAATGAGCAGGAGAATTCCCTAAAATTGGATCCCAATAAGCCCAGTTTTTGCCTTTGCTGAGACTTGGACTCTGCCGTGGGTGGAGATACTTTTCAGCAGCCAACCTAATTTCATTAGCAGGTTTCTGCTGATGATCCATGTCCCTGCAAAGTGAGGGCTCTGGGCAGCAGCAGTCAAGGAGGACTCCAGCCCAGGGCTCCAACTAGCACAGTCCTCCATGTGGAGCTCATAGTGGGGATGTGTCAATATGATCGTGCAAAACCCAGGGTCTGGATGGAAAAGCCATGCAGGGATTAGGAGATCCAGCAGGGAGGAGTTGTATGACTGGGAGAGAGCATCACAGCAGTGTGTGGAGCAGCAGGTCAGACCCACGCTGGGCACTGCTGACTGCAGCTGCCTTGTTGGGTGCTGGTTTCTCTTGTGCTGAACTTGGGGCTGACTAATATCTGCAAGACTTCAGGGAGGGAGCAAGAGGGTTGTCCCTGCTGTGGGCAGGAACCCCCATAGTGTATAAAGGCAGAAGGAGCCGGTCTCTTCTCAAGGGGACAAGACGGGGCACAAACATTCACACGATGCAGAAGTTTCAGTGCCCCCTGGTCACGGGGCATCACAGCAGATCTGGCAGCAGCTCTTCAGGGCACCTTGGAGCCAAGGCTGCCACCATCCCCAGCAGAGGTGCTGGGGCAGCTGGATGTTCCCAAGGGTTGGGAACCACCATGGCTGATCTCACCCCATGCAGCCACCTGAGCTGCAATGGCAGCAGGGGGGTTAGACCCATTTTGGTGACTTGCTCTGTCTTTTGTTGCCCCTGGAGTTACAGGAGTAGATTCAGTCTTCTTCACTAGGTCAGCTCTGAGTGACAAACACTCCCGTGTCCCACAGCACGATCACCCGCAGGCATCCCAGGCTTGCCAGGATGAGCCCCCGGAGTGGTTCTTGCTCGGGGATGGAGCCTTTTTCCTACAGCTCCCCAGACCTGTGAGCCTGGTACCGAGCTCAGATGCTTCCCTGCCTGGGCTCAATTCATCCCTCAGCCCAGAAGGGAGTGAAAGACTCTTTATCCCATTGGACCTTCTCCTGTTTCCTTGATCCCTCCCACAGGCTTTTCCTGTGCCTTGGCTTCCACGCTGCCCAATGCCTTCTGCTGAGTCTTGCCGCAGTTTTAAGCCTGAATAAGGCATTTATCTAAATATATCCAAACATATCCCTGTAAAACCTTGTGAGTTCTGGGGACAGTGAGTGATCTGGGACACTTTTCCGACTCGTGCCAAGGTACCTGGCTCCTGTAAAATGATTGTACAGTAATTTAGTGTTGCAGTCCTTCAGGCCAAGCCAATGGGGAGGGCAAGCCTGGGTTAGCACCTGGTGTTCCTCTGCTTGCCATGGCTCCTAGGAGCCCTCTCGCTTGTCCAAGAGGAGCAGAGCTGTGGAATGGCATTAATAAGAGCCTTGAGGCTTAACCCAGCTACGGATCCAGAGGAGAGGTGGGTACTGGAGACTCACGAAAGCTTGCTAAATATAGCTGAGTAATTTAAATACGGGGTTTATTCCACTAGTAATAACATGCTGCTTTTTTGAAGACATTCATTTTGTCACAAGCAAGTGTTCTCTTTCTTGTTTCCAAAATTGTGCCGTGGAGTGTGGTATTCCCTCCTCCCCTGCACTTTTCCTATTTTGGCTAATTAAACTCAAGTGGTCAATTCCATTTTTTTCATATCCCATTACTGTGCTTCCATTTATTTAGCACTTTAAAATGGCTTCTATTTAAATTTGGAAGAGAAGAAAAATAAATCCACTCAATATATTTTTATTCATATCATATGTTGTGGCTTTACTCTTTTTCAAGAATGAGCTCTAATTTTTGAACCTGAATTCACTTGGCACTCGTCTTGGCCACAGCAGCTTTGGGCTTCCTTTTGTTTTAAACTAATTCTTTCTTTTTCCTACTGCTGGGCTGCATTAACGTCTCCTTGCTGCGAAAGCTCCTATGCATGTGCTTGGTTTGAAACTGCTCATCTGAGCAAAGTCGAGCACAGCCATGAATATTTGCAAGTGAGGTTGCAGGGCTGCTACATCGTTGGTCTAGGGTGCCACACTGTGAATCCCAAGTCCTTGTGTGTAGTGGCTACCTGTGCATGCTCCAGCAAGCCATTAGTGACACTACTTTTTCCTTTCTTTTTTGTCCCATGATCTGGAAAGATGGTGCCTTTTTCTTTTGTTTTCTCTTACTTTTCAAGGGAAAAGAAGCTTGATGAATACTTGCTGGTTTTGAAAGTGAGAAAGTAGAAGAGAGCAGGAGGAGGCAAGATGCATTTGGCATAGGAATTTCCAAATGCCTTTTTTTTTTGGCAAAATTTGGGGATATGTTTGCTTTTTTTGCTTATTTGTTTTTAACTTAAAGCTTTATTTTAATCACTGAAACATATTCTAACCAAGCCTGTGAGGAATGCATGACCGAGAAACATGGAAAAAACAGAAAAACAGCTGGGGGTTTAAAAAAAAAAAAAAAAAAAAAAGGACAGAGGAAATAGAGATCTTATGTGATCTCTGACTGTGTGACTGCCTTTTGTCCTTGGAGTCCCAGTCCTTAACACTGTCCTGGATGAGCAGTCTGAGTTCCTGGGACCTCGAGGGATGGGTTGGTCTGTGCATTGGAGCTTCTTAAGGTGTCTGGGCTTAGCTGCAGTTGAGGCTTTTAGATTTACTTGCCCTAGTCCTAATGCTACTTGTTTCAAATCTATTAGTTTTCTATGAGTATGACTTGAAAGTTTCATCTTTTAAATCAACCAAGAAAGGAAAATGCAGATGCTTCAGAGTGAAGGCAAGAATAAAATTTTGTGCCTATAGAAATCTGGAGATGTAAAGCCACAGTCCCTGCAAGCAACCACAATGCAGCCAAATGCATGTATTAAAACAGAAAAGTCCTTAGCATGCCTGGAAACAGAAAATGTTGTGTACAGGAGGTCTGATTTATGCTGGAAACCTTAACTTTTGGCCACATTCTGAGGTCATTTTTTTTGAGTCAAACATGCACTGCTGAGTCAGGCCAGCGGGTCCTTGAATCCCTGGATTTGAGATGCTTTGATTCTCTCCTCTTCTCCCCCCATTTCAGGAGAGATGTGGCCCTGTATCTTGTAAGAGAGTCTCCAGGCATGTCGGATCTGGGAGCCTCTCATGGGCACTGGGTGCTCAGCACCTCGTAGGACCCATCCTTTGCCCCATGACCCTCCCAGCACTGCAGGGTGCTCTGCGGCCAGCCCTCCGTATCCCCCTGCACCAGCCGGAATGTGGCTCTTTGCCCTAGTGCTTCCCTCCTCTAGCCTGGTCCATGCTCCATCCCTTCCCTTGTGTGTGTCCTGTGTCCCCCTGCGTGCCCTGCCTCCTCATCCCGCCTGAACCTGCCCCTTGGAGGCTGGATCTCCGCTCATTAGCTGCTGTTTGCTGAAACCGGATACCTGGGGCACCCCAGCCAGCTATTGGAGTCCCCTGGCTGCAGCTCTTTAAAAGGACAAGGGCAGCCTTATAATTTCCACCTCTTTCACATCCATGTCCCTCCCAGCGCGCGGTCCTAACCCAGCTTCTCTCCTGGACGCCGGCAGCATCCATGACCCACGCGTGGAGGCACAGCCCGCGGGGGAGCCGCCCGCACCGCTCCTGGGCCAGGATTATCTGTTGAACGCGGGGGGACGCCGGCCCTGCCAGCGAGCCCTGGCGCTGCCGGGGCCCCCCTGCCTGCAAGGTGCTCACCAGCCCCTGGCAAGCAAGCCACCTTGCTATTGAAGGGGAAAGAGAGAGGAAGGGGCTTTTTTTTTTTTCCTACTTTTTTAATTGCAATTATTTTTAAGAAGTAGAAGTTGCTGTAAGCTGCTGTGACAAGTGAATGCCAATGACCCTGGTGTTGCAAGGAGATATTGCTCAGCCTCTCGCCTTGCTGCCAAGTAAGTGTCCAAGGCGCAGAAGCAATGCGAGGGTGGGGGGAAGGCACAGGGACAGGGGGGTGACCAGGGCGCAGAGAGGAGCGAGGAGGCAGCAGTGCCCATGGGGCTGGTGCCCTCCGTGCCCAACACGTGGTGAGGAAAGTCCCCACCTCCCAGCGCGGGCTCTGCTGCCCTGCAGCCTTGGAGCACAGCTGAGGGGTTTGCTTTGTCCTGGGACACGTGTGGACACGAGGGACCTGCCTGGGCTGCGCAGGGTGGCAGGAGCTTGGTGGGAACGTGCGTAGCTACAGGAGGGGGAGGCTCGGGGATGCTTCCCTCCCTGCCAGCCAAGGCAAAGTCTCCCAGTAGGGCTGGGGCAGTGCTGGGGATCTGCTCAGCGCTGCGAGGCTTGGCACGAAGGATTCCTCTCCTCCTCCCTGCCCCGTGGGCTCCAGCTCCATCCCTCGCTGGTGGGCGGAGAAAGGGTCGGGGGAGCCGGGGGCGCCCGCATCACCTGGGCCCTCCCTCTGCCCCCGGCCGAGCAGGGCAGGATGGGGAGGCCCTGGGGGACAGGGGGGCTCTGCGGCGGGACCGGCCACCCCTGCGGGCTGAGCTGCCTCCTCCGAGCACGGAGCCGAAGGGGAAGAGCCACGTCAGGTACCTCTGAACGCGGAGCCTCTGCTGCTCGGCGGCGAGGAGGGTGGGAGCGACGTCGGGCAGGGTCTGGGCCGGGTTGGGCTGCAGCTCCCGGGCAGGTGAGCGCTGCGTGTCCCTGCGGCCCCTCCGGCCCTTCCTCAGCGCAGTTTTCTTCCTGGTGTCCTACATGAGCTGGAAGGGTCCCTGGTTATTTCTCTACTTGTTCTTCTGGCTGACGAGTTTCTCTTTCCCCTTTTTTTTTTTTTCTTTATTTACTTTGTGTTATTTTTTGTAAGTGCTTCGCTATTACAGAGGAGGGCAGCAGAGAGAGGCAGCAGGGACATCCTTAAATAATTTTCATTTCTCCAAATCTGCCTTTTCCTCTCCTCTGTAAGTCCAGAGGAGAGATCCTTCAGGGGGTGAGAGAGAGGCATATCTGTATTGCAAATAAAAATAATTACAACCACCAACCAAATAAAAAAAAGTAACAGCCAAGAGAAAAAAAAAAACACTTTCAATCAAGGACTTTGGAAATCAGAGATCACAGAAATTATACTAATAGCAAGGAGGAAAAAAGAGGCGAGAAATCCAGCGACCATGGGCCAGCCTGACTTCCTAGTGTGTACTTTCTGTTCTCTCTCCTTTTTCCCAAGGTAATTGCAGTCTGCCGAGAGGGAGTTAAATGGGATTAAAAGATCTGTGTAAGCAAAAGGACCCAGAAGAGAAGGAGGAAGGAGTGAGCCGTCCGGGCCAGGGGGTGTCTTTGACACAGCTGAGCCCCTTAGAGAGGCAGAGCGCTGAGCTCCTGGGAAGGATGTACCCGCAAACCAGCCTGTCCCCCTTTTTCTGATGGATTGCTGCAAAAATTGCCCGAAAGAGACAATGCACTAAACGTGATGGAGCCGGAATCAGAGCCGGTCTCCAGACTCAGAGCTACCGCGGCAGGCAGGGGGTGAGTACAAAGTCCTGCTTCTCTCGGCGCTGGGGAAGGGCAGCCCGGGCGGAGAGGGGGTCCCGGGGAGGGCCGGGGAGCTGGGGGTGCCCGCGGGGCAGGGCAGGGAAGAGGCAGC